GACCCCGCCGGGCGGTAGGGCCCGCGGCGGGTCCTGCTCGGAGGGATGGGGCGTTTCGGAGCGCGCTCTTGGCCCCCTTCCGGGCCCTGCGGGGGGATCTTGGGCTTCCCTCGTGCCCCCCGGGGCCGCTGCGGGCATGGGGGCACCTCAGCCCCCGTGAGGGGGGCGGTTACACGGGCTCTGCTTCTGTTGGGGGGATTTGGGGGCTCTTCGGGGTGTCGTGAGGGCTCTTTGGGGGGCTCTTCCCCCCGCGAGGCCTGTTTGGGAGTGCATGAGGGGCCCTTATCCCCCTCGGGAGCCTCCCATTTGTTGCCGCCCTGTGGAAAGCGGCTTCCCTTGGGATAGGGGGTCTGACAGGGGCTGGACACGGTGTCCCCGGGTCCCTCCTTGGTCCCTGCAGCCGCTGCTCCCCGAGGAGCCTGGCAGGGAGCAGGGTCACCCCTGCCTTGGGTTACTCATTAATTCCCCTCGCTGCTGCCCGTGTGTTTTCCTCCTGGCAATGATTAAGGGAGTGCTGCTGCTCCAGGGGATCGTTTCGCCCTGCGCCTCTCCCGGGACGCGTCGTGCCCTGCTGCTCCACAGGGCCCTTTCCCTCCTGCCTCGCTCCGTGCATCCCTGTGCATTTGGGGGTGCCCCCGGGCTCTGCGCCCGCAGCGGAATAAACCAGCTCTGCCAAATGGCCCCTTGAAACGGAGGCACCGGAGCTGCAAATTCCCTGTTGTCTTCACTCTACTTAATGCAGCCAAGTCCCCCCACTGAGCAGGGCTTTGAGATCCCCTTTTTCACCCCTTTAAAGCCCTTTTCCCTGCACTGCTGCATAAAACAGCAGCAAAAACAGCAGGGCTAATGGAGCTGGCCAGGCTGGAAGCCCTGCCAAGGGAACGGGCTCCTTTCTGCCAGGCTTTCAGACCCGCTGCTTCTCTCACAACATCTGATATTTTTGTGTCCTAAAGAAATTCAGGAAGGGAAGTCAACCCTGCTGACTCACTTGGGTGTTTTTTTTTTTTTTTGAATTTCTGCAGGAAAGCTTACAAAGGGAACTGAAATTAGTGTTATTTTGTCATTTTATCCCCCTCTTAAAGCAGCAATGCTGAAGTAGCCCTTGCAATTATGAAAGGGCAATTAGAATTAATGTTTCCCAGCTGCGTGCTCGTAAGGAACAGGCTGCAAGTTGAGCACTTGCCCTGTGTAGAAATGAGGGCTCTCCAGGATGCTCAGGTTTGTGTTGAGGTGGTTAATGAATATCCAGGAGTGCGGGTTGTGTTTGGGAGGGTGTGCGCGGCTGGCAACACTCAGAGCTCTCGTGACACCCGCTGCATCCCGGCCCTCCTCATCCTCCCTGAGGGCAATTCCCTCTCCCGGCACCCACCTGCAGGGCAGAGGTGGAATTCCCACGAATTCCTGGAATTTATCCTCCCGATTTACCAACGCTTGGGTTTTAAACAATGCCGGGCTTAGTTTTAAGGAAATCTGCTGTTTGCTTTCTCCGTGGGGAAAACTAGTGCTGTGAAAATCCACTTATGGAGCGGAGGGGATCTGAATTGATAAGGGCTGATACTAGAAGGTGATTTCTCAGCTTGACCGCCGAGTTCCTGGAAGGATATGGGCTTAATACCTGTTTTTAATCTCTTCAAGCCTTTTGATGCGGAAACACTTCACAGCTACAGCCGGCGGTTAAACCTATCTCGCGTCCATGCAAGGGTAGGGATCTGTTTGCTTTCCCAGGCATTGCATGCCTCTGGATGAGCTTTTTTCACTCTATTTGTGGTCAAAAAGCCCCATTCTGCCTCACAAGGTGTCTGCTGCTCAGCGTGGAGGTGAAGCACTTCCCAAGTTGCTTTTGAGCCACCACGAGCATCGAAGGGACGTCCTAAAATGTGGTTTGTGAGTAAGAGGGGACCTCCTTAGGGCAGCACACGGGGGTGTGCAGTGATGCTCTGCAAGAGGAGTCAATTTTCCTTGATTTCAGCCCATTTACGGGCTCCGTCACCCTTTGGTCACCCCCGATGTGACAGCACAGGAGGCAATCGCTGTCACTGCCATGGTCAGCGGGGAAGGAAACACAGAGAAGCCAGGAGGAGCAAAGAGCCTGTTCCAATAACGCTCCGTTCCCGTTTGTCTGGGCGCGCTGCCCGCTTGCCGCGCGCATTGTCCTTCCAAAGCGAATTCCACAGGAACCTGGAGCTCGGCCAGCTCCATCCGTCCCAAACCGGAGCGCGGGGAAGAGCCCCTAAAGAAGCCGGGGGGCTTTTTAGAAGTGGCCGTTTCTCTTAATGCTGTGGCCACGCTGGGCTGGGGGGAGGCTCTTTGCCTGTTCCGAAATGTTCTCCGGATACTCGGAATGGGAACCGCAGTTCTAGGAAGTGCTGCCCTCCCCTTTGTGACCCATCCAGCAACTTAACACTTAACGGGCTGGGGTTACTCCTTGGGAGCCCTGGAGCTAAAGGATTGGATTATTCCTGGAAAAATGGCTAAATCCCAAACCTGTTCCTGAAAAGTTTAGTACTTTCTACTTACTGGCAGCACTTCTAATATCCATTTACTTTCTAGGTGAGGTTTTATTCTGCATATGTGTATACTTATAGTGAAAACTCGGAGTATAAGTTGATTTTTTTTTTCCTTTTGATTGAATTGGGAATGGACCAGTAAAGGTCCAATCCCAAAGGGGAAGCTGCAGCCTTACCCATGATGTGGCAGGAAAAAACCTGTTTTTCAGTAGTTTCTGTGTTAAAGTTGTGGTCTGTTTGGAGGGATCTCATTTGAGTGGCTTTGAGCTCTTCCAGCCCCGATTCCTTTTTAAGAAACAAGCTGTTCAGGCTAGGAGTATTCCTAGAAATCCGTGCACGGAGCCTCAGCTCCGAGGCTTGTCTTAATCCATTGGAGCTGTTTTGCTCCTGGTAAGCAGGAAGAGGAGGATGTGGTCTGGATTCACCATGAAAACAGAGGAGCATTAAGGGCTGTCTGAATTAAAGCTTTTTTGGGAGGTTACTCTGAGCTGCCCCGTCAGCACAGGCTGTGTGTTGAGTGCACCAAAGATGCCCTATTTCCATTTCTATCTTATTTCTAGATGCATTTGCATGTATCTCCTTAGTTCTCAGCTTCCCGACACTTTAGAAAAACTTATTAGCTTTAAAAACAGAAGCTGAATTTAATTTCAGTTTGTGTTTTTGCAGTGACCATGTTAGGCAGAACGGGTCAGGCCTATTGGATGCAGCCCTGGAATAGATTTTGGAGCTGTGCTCATTCCACACTGGTAGCAAAACTATTATTTGGGTGGCTGATTCTTGTGCCTTGTTTTTTTTTTTTTGCAGCTAGAAGCAGTGCTGATAGCATCAGACTTTCTTTTGGGGTAGCTTGAAATGAGCAGCGAGTGCCCCTTGCTGTTCTGTGTGTATAGCTGCAATTTGGATCCCCAATTTTATTCCCTGGAGCGTAGACCGTGCAGGACCCTTGAAGGAAATGTTGCACTTCTTGTGTTTTACTTTAATGCATGAAAAGTGGCTCTGCTATCTAAGTAGTCAAGGTTACTGGGTTGTTCCAAGCACTAAGTGTCACCTTCTTTCCGTAGGCACCAGGATTATTTATGATCGGAAGTTCCTGATGGAGTGCCGCAATTCTCCTGTTGCCAAAACACCGCCTTCCGACCTTCCGGACATTCCAGGTGTCACCAGCCCAAGTGTGGAGGAGTCCAAGACTGAAAACAACCATGTCCAGAACTATGAGGAGAAAGAGAACATAGGTGAGTGCACATAAAAACCAGCCACGTGCAGAAGTTTACACAAGGAACGGAGCCAGATTCGGATGGTCTTTGCACTAAAACACATTCACATGACTGTTTAAGTGTGATTTTTATGTTGTATTATCACTTTATTGTCATTTACTTTCCCTCTGGGAAAATGTTACTGATGCTGCTTTAAGGGAGTAGCTGCAGCTGTGGCATTCCCAGTGGCACTGCCTTTTTTAATGGATCAGGTTACTACCCCAGGGCTTGTTCTGGAGCTTTTTTAGACACCAACCCGAGGAGATTTCAAGTTCATGTGAGATGACCTCTTGAAGCAGTGTAAAATATCTATTACAGCTGATCCCCTCCCTAAATATAAGAGTAGTCTGAGTGCTCATTAACTGGTTTCCATTTTCTAAGCAAAATCTTCCCAGGACCAAAACTGCTTGATGGGTTTAGAGCTGTGAGCTTCAGCAGCTCAGGTGATCCTTCAAACTGCAATGCTGGTGAGCTGCAGGGTGCAATGCAATATTTAATGTGGTGCTTAGGCTCACCCAGGCTTTTCTGCCCTCAGCAGGTGAGGAAGAGCAGTTTGACATGGACATCTAAAGCACGTGCCCAGCGAGTGCTTCACTGTTGAAGACTGGGACCTTGTCCTGAGGATTCCCACCAGCGAGGCTTCCAGAAGCCCAAGCTTTGAGTGCCTTCCTGCTTCCCGGGAAGGGCAAGTCATTCACTTCTGAGAAGAGTGTCCTGTTCCACAGACTGACCCTCGGCCTCTCCGCGCGGCTGCGAGCACACGAGCACAGCCCCTGCTGCCCATGGGCCGCAGAGTGCAGGAGGAGACTTTCTCAGATCGTTTTTTGTTTCGGGTTTTATGCTTTTGTTAATCATTGTATTACTGTAAAAGTTGCAGAGATGCAAGTAAGGGAGAAATAAAAAATGACTTTGAGTCTCCTGGTATGGGGTTTAATGCAATAAACTGGGCTTTTATCCTTTATTTGTTCTAACAAGACAACTGCTGATCTGTGGCCTTGGAAATCTCCTTCCAGAAAGAGTGAGGAAAACTGAGGTGCTTCCAGCTGCAGCTTTTATTGTCACAGGTGTCCCCAGGTCCCATTGCATTCCCTGTCACCTGAAGGGGAACAGAACAGCAGGTGGAAGGCTTGAATTGGGAGTCACCTGCAGGGGGTCCCCTGCTCTGAGCTGCCCTCCTGGGGCTCTAGCAGCCCCTCCTTGGGAAGCAGCTGAGCCTTCAGCTTCTGGGCTGCCTCTCCTGCTTTTCCAGACTCTTACAGCACGCAAGAAATTCCCCAACTGCCCTGTTTTGCACTTTGATCCCTGCTAAAATTTTTGTTCATCTTTAATCTCTACCCTCAAAATCATTTTTTTTCCCCCTATTTCTTTTAAAAGACTTCTGATCACCCCAATGCAGACCAAGGTTTGTAAGGCAGAAGGGTTTTAACTGGGATGTTGGGGACACAGCTCTACCACGGAGGAATCACACGTAGCTCCCTGCTACGTGCAGTTCTGGGCCCAGGCTGTTTAACAAATGTGTATTTTGGAGCAGTCTGTAACCCCCTGGGTCAGTGTCTTAGCAGTGCTGCTCTGAGGAGGCATTTCAAAGGAGCAGGTCCATTAGGACCCAACCTGGACCTTTGATTTCGCGAGAGACAATGAGTGTCTGCTCACATCAGCTCCTAGCTGATAATATTTAAACATCTGCTAATTAACTCCAATTGCTACATTATGGTCTGCAAGCCTTTAATAAGGAGGAACAAAAGAAACAAAGGCAAAGCAAATGATGTGGGTAAACTCGCATGTTTAAGGTGAGGTTAAGTGTTTCTCTGAAGCCTTAATGGGAACAGATTCAGACTTATTGCTGTCAAGGGTCATTTTATCAGTGTTTTGCAACTCAAAATAGCGTTTGCCTTGTTGTGTGCATTTAGTGAGAAGCTGCTAGCACTGCTAGGATGTGGTTTGCAGCTGGGGCTGGCTCATCTTCCCAGCTAAATTAATATTTCCAGGTAAAACGATCCTCCTAAGCTTCATTAACTCAGTGCCTGCGAGCCCTGTACAGCAGTAATGAGGTTCGTACATTCTCATAGGTCTCTCCAGCCCTTTCCCACTGATCCCAGAGAATCCAGCCACCTTCCAGGAGCCTCTCGCTTTATTTCTAGGGAGGAGAGGGTGAAAATTTACCCTTTAGGAAAATGTGCCGTGCAAAGGTAGCTTGCTGAAGGGGATCGCTTCGGGTGGACTCTAAAGGATAAACTAGTCGGTTGTGGGGTGTTTTGGTTGATTTGTTTGGGTTTTGGCTGTAATTAGGAACAGTCACTCAGTGCTGAAGCTTGTTTTTCTCCTCTGCCCTTACCAAAATGCTGCAGAATGCCCGAGCAGGGCTTTAAAACTGAGAGTTTTGGCTTCATAACTAAGAATTCTATTGATATAACCCTTGGCACGCGGATTCGCCTTTCCAAAGAGCGTGAGGGGAGGATTTATTTGTCCTCCTGCACCGCTC